TGTTAAAAAGACAAATACTTAAAGATCTTAATTTAAAAGTTTAAAATGTTTACGATAATTGTAGCCATAAGTTTTGCTATGTACTTAAGTTTCGTCAAGATAATGAGTTTGTTAGTTGTAATAAAAACTATAATCTAGAAAATAGTTAAGTTTTAAAGAACATGGTGATATATAAACAATTGTTTTTAATATTGTTCATGTCATATTGTCATAATAAAAAAAGATTCATGTTTTACAATAATGATAGTTAGTTTAAGCGTGATCAAATACCTGCTACAGAGTACAAGCTTTACGAAAAAAAAAATTAAATAATTTGGGTAATTCGGGTAATTCGGGTAATTCGGGTATACCTGAAACCCAATAAACGTACCCTTTACCCTACCCGAAAAAAAATCGGGTTACCCTATTACCCGAAAAAATTTACCCGATACCCGATTTACCCGATACCCGAAAAAATCGGGTGGGTAATTCGGGTATCGGGTATTTTCGAGAGGGCTATGTATGTCGTTGTTGTTATCTTGTGTGGTGGTACTTTTGGAGAACTCACTAAGCTTTGGCTTACAGTTTCAGTTTATTGTTTCAGGTACTTCAGATGATCGTGGCAAGGTGAAGGCGTGATCGTGCACATCCTTTGGTTTTATGTTATTTGGATTTTGGGATACTCTGATTTACGAAAATACACTTTTGAAACAATGATTTTGTAAACAATTATGGTTTGGGGTTATTTTTGAAAAGTTAAAATTTGTTGTGATTTTTGAGTTGTGACATAAACATAAGATGATATATTCAATCCACTACGTTAAGTATGAAACTGTAAGACTCTTATGGGAAATAATGAAGTGCACTTATCTTTTTAAATAAAAATTTATATTCATATATTAAAACAATTACGTAAACATCTCTATGCATGTAAATAAATAGTTATTGTAAAGAAACATACATTAAAACTAACTAAGTTCCTAGTTCTTACCATTTAACTTTTAAAAACGATAACTATAATTTTTTTTAACAAAATTAACAAAAAGTATATATTTTTCGGATATCAGATATCCGAAAATATCCGAAAAACGTATAAAATGACTATTCGTATCCGAATCCGAAAAATAAGATATCCGAAATTTCGGATAGGATTTTCGGATTTTTCGGATGGGATTTCCGGATATAGATGTTTTTGAACACCCCTAGCAATTAAGCTCTTAATGAGCAATGTTCTCATCCAACATCATTCCAAATCACTTGTATGAGCTCTCACACATGGTTAGGAGGTGTTTTACCATCTTAACACACTCCAATTAATCCATTAAGTTCTCATTGGACACATTAAGAACATAATGATCTTCAAGTGTTTAAAAGAAGGGTAAACTAGTCCATTTTGCACTTGAACATTCCAAAGTCCACAAAACTTGTTCCCAACTTGATAAACACTCAAGAGGATGTTGTCAGGTGCATGAAACCATATCTAATCTCCTTTTAAACACCTAAAATAACTATGGAATCCTCAATTTCATTCCATATTCCCAAATTGCCCTTTGGGCCAAAACAATCACTATAGCTAGAACCTCACTAGCATACCTTCATGTTTGTGTTCCAATATCACCTCTAGAGTGTCAATTCATGTCCATGAATGTAATTCACTTCTTACATGTCAATCTTTATGTAGTAATCCATATATTTCCAAAAAAACCCTTATAGCCAAATATTCCATAAATTCAACTAGTAATCATTCAAGTCTTGATGTTCTTGCATTCAAATCATATTATTAGTATCAACTCAGGTTTATGAGTATCATATACTCATCAAATGTTCGCATACAAAGGATTCTATTGTTTTCATTCCAATTTCCCTAAAATCAATACAAGTACATGCTTATACTTGATTCTACCATCATGGATGAATATGAGCATTTTAATTGGATTGGTTGCTATCAAATATCATCTAGGTCATAGAATCCAATCCCATTTTATCATTAGTAGTAATTTCCCCAATTTGGGTTTTCTAAGCTTCCTGAAGGTTTTCACCCGAATCCTTAAATCCATAATAGGAACGATTAGATTGAGATTGGGATCATCAAAACTATTCAAGGGAGGTTATAAAACCAAACCCTGATCATTTAAAGAAGCTAATTTCGACCTTGGGGTTAAACATCTAAAATCGAACATGACAGTAACCAAAATCCAAGCTAATGAGGATCATATTCAAACAAAGTTAACAAATTTCAGCTCAAAACATCATTGTCATGTTAATTTTGATCTGTGATGTTAGGGTTTTTGGGGTATCGATTACGTGAATAAGGATAAAGGTAGTGCGTCGATTAAGGGTTTCATTTAATAAGCCTATGATGACGTGTCATACACGAGGGATAAAGCTTCCAGGTCAGCATTGCCAACAAAGCGTCAGAACCAACTAAACCTTTAAAATCGAGGATAATGACATAATTAAAAGGTAATTTAAAACTTTATGGACTAATTGCACAAAAAAAAATAACTTCAGTGACCAATCCGAGACAAAACTCAAAATTTATTGTGCTACAGTGTCATTTTCCCTAGGTAGAAAATATAAAATATGTTCTTCGATTTACCAAAAAGTAAGCACAATATTAAGTTATAATATGTACTAGCCGAAAGATCTAGAAATTTACATGATACAAAAATAGTATGTTTTATAAGGACCATGCTAATTAAGTAGACCAAAAAAAATATCGCAAAGAAAAAAAAAGGTAAAAATATCAAATAGCCAAAGAGTCAAAAAGGATAATTGTCCTTAAATCTAAAAGAAAATGGGATATAAGTGCAATAAAGGAACAAAGAAGAGGGAAGGTTCATGGGTTGTTTTCAACTTCACCTTTACCTACTATATGGGGGAACATCAAGGAGTGTAGTGTTCTAGGGGTCAGGATGATGCCAAATAAGCCCCACAGCACGACGGGAGTGCACCTCCTGGTCTAACCGCCTTCTTGATTATCTTTCGAACAGAATATTTAATACAAATAAGAGGGAAAATTCATTTATATATACTATTTGTAATTTATCACATATGTCAAAAACATAGTAGAGATGGGATTTAAAACCAGAACCGCAAACGGAACCGGAACCGTTAAAATCGAAATATTTAGAACCGGTCCGGGTTCCGGTTTTAGAGAATGGTTTTTTTCCGGGTTTAGGGAATCCAGATTTTTGGTCCTTCAGGTCCGGGTAAATTGGGTTTAAGAACCGGAATCGGTGTTAGGAACCTGGTTTTAGGGTCGAAACCAATTTCTGTGAAACATTTAAAACATGCATATCTCATTCGTTTGAAGTCGGATTTACATGAGGTTTTTTTCCAGAATGTTGTTTATAGTTTTACATAATTTTAGACTATAATTTTTTCATTTTATGTTTCATATTCATCGACTAATAGTACCCCAAAGTATCGATATCAAAGCTGAAAATTTTCTGTTTTTCAGCTTTTTTGTATTCTGGGAAAGTTTTAAAACATGCATATCTAATTAGTTTGAAGTTGGACTATCATGCAGTTTTTTCCAACGTGTAGTTTAGAGTTTGTACATGATTTTAGAGTATAATTTTTCCATTTTTGGTTTCATATTCATTGACTTACTGCCCCCAAAGTCGAGATATATCAAAGTTGAAAAATTTTGTTCTTCAGTTTTTTTTTTTTTGTATTCTGTGAAATTTTAAAACATGTATATCTAATTCGTTTGAAGTCGGATTATCATAAAGTTTTTTCCAACATGTAGTTTAGAGTTTGTATATGATTTTAGACTATAATTTTTTTCATTTTTTTGGTTTAATATTCAATGAATTACAGTTCCCCAAAGTCAGGATATCAAAGCTGAAAATTTTCAATGTTCAACCCACTAAGTAATTACCAAAAAAAAATTCTGGTTTTCTTGGGTTTTCCGCTTTTAGACCAATTTCACCCGGTTCCACCCGACCCATTTTTGATATTTCTGGTTTTCCGGTTCTAGACCCACTTACCTGGAACCAGTTCCTATATACCGGTCCGGTTTCCGGTCCTACAAAATCCTGTTTACCGGTTCCCCGGTTTTCCAGGTCCGAGTCTATCCAGACCGGGTTTGGACCCATTTTCATCACTAATCCATATGCTTGAATCGCTTATTATTACGATCGTTGTTTCATCCTCCACTTTTCCATCGTCTTTTTGTATGTTGGCCTAAGGATCTAAGCTAGCAACGATAATCAATTCATCCAAATTCGCCCCATAAATTCTCTATTTTTTTACTTGCATATATGTACATAAGATTGGTCAATCACATACTTTGACTAGTCAAAAGGGGGAACAAGGTTAGATAGAGAGACTCACTTTCGATCCCTCATTTGAACAAAAGAAGGGAATGCCTCTTTCATTCTTGTCACCGAAAATATTTGGTGGAAGTTTCTCTTGCTTAATACAAATCTCGTTTGTTATGAAAGATATAACACGACATAGAACCATACATTATACTACATTTGGCATATATTAGACTAGTACTAGTGTAGAACCATTATAAATAGGACAAAATTGCATATTTTTTTGTACCACAACTCATACTTGATATCCACCTGTGTGAAAATATATAAATGTTCTCTTCGTCTCCATCACTAGAAATAGACCTGAAAAGTTTGTCTAGTTATGTTCAACCTTATTTCTCTTTTTTCATTTTTTTTCCAAGTGCCTTATTTCTCTTTTTCCATCTTTTTTCCAAGTGCCTTGTTTCTCTTTTTTTATCTTTTTTCCAAGTGATGTATGCACTCATATATAGCTTACTGGTTTAGGGCATTGTTTCTACTTTTTTTTTTTTTTTCATTTGTTGCCTAGATAAAGTGTTTCCATATAATTAATGGTTAAAAACATTTGAAAATTTGTTAAAACACTTGGGTAAACTTGTATTATGTTACATTTTTGTATTATGTCAAAATAAAAAAAAATAAAAAAATAAAAAAATAAAACACCCGTATACAACTTACCCCATAACAGCCATGTTTCTATTGTTCCCAAATGTTGTCTTAATAAATGATGTTAAAAAAACACCCGTATATAGTTTTTCTTTTTGGCAAAACAAACACACATCTCGGAAAATTCCCCATATAAATGATGCTAAGGCTCTCTATCTTTCTTTCCCATTAAGTACAATTTAAATAAAGTGTTGTCTAGATAAATGATTTCAAACATTACACGATTAAGCAAATTTGTGAATCAAAATCTTTATAGCCAACATCAAAAAGACAAAGGCCATCAGGGGGTGCTGGTGGGGCCGTGGCACGTCTACACGTGGCATCCATCAATTTTATCAGCGCATCATCTTCAGCTCCAGCCGCCGCTTCTCTTATTGATGTTGCCACAAGCACACGAACCATCTATCAAACAACAAAAATTAGTCTCATTTTCTCTATTAATTTAATTCCTTCTTTCACTATTAGAAAGAGCTAATATATTTATTTAATTATCGTTTGAGAATGAAATTCCTTATTAGAGATGTGTACCTTGCGTAAAAAACGATTAGCAACCAATTCGATGCACATTGCCTTTGTATATTCTCCTTTCTTCATGAAAAACAGAAAACAGTAAAAATCTAGTATTGACAACTTGAGTCCCTCTAATTAAAGGATTCATCCAAAAACACTCCCTCCATATAAAACATGAAAATTTGAGTACCTTTGCATCAATGGTTAAAGTTACTTGTGTGGCCCGCGCATGGAAGACAAAACACTCGGTTGGAGGACCACTGTAACAATAAATAGCAACATACTTTCATTTAATTTATTAAATGATTTAACTCTAAAGAAATTGATTGTTTTATGCATAAAATGAAAGCTCACGTGTTTCTTGAGGGTTTTTGTATCACGTGCAAACATCTTGTAAGATAATAATTTCCCTTCTAGTTGTTGAAGAAGCTTGTTGACTTTGCTAACTTTAAACCTGGTTGGTTTTTTTATATTTCCCTCATCATCTTTTTCATTTTCATTATCAAATGAAGATTCTAAACTTTTCTCATTTTCATGGTTATCATCTTCTTCATCAGTTTCCCCATTATTCAAAGGAAAGATATATAAATATCGCCTCCATTTTGCAGAGAAATTAGGATGGAATGTTCGTGGGACCTGTAATGATTAATATTTTGGTGTTTTAAGATGGGTTAAATGTAAGAAATAGCAATGTACTTTTGTTAAATTGTTTATTTATAGCATGTTACTTTTTATTTCTACCTATTATTTAACAACATTTTACTTTTGAAAATTTTATATAATTATAGCAAGTGTGTCAAAATTACTGCTATAACTTATTTATTATAGCATCATAAAAAAATTAAAAAAATTAAAAAAATAAAAAATAAAAAACTCGTTTATTTTGTTTTTCCGGGTTAAACCTCAACTTTATTTTTTGCCTCAAAAAGATTTTGTATTTTTTTCATTTCTTCCGATCTGACCCTTTTAGTCGTTTTTTCCAAAAAAAAAATTTGTAAAATGTGAGGGTTTTTTCAGGAAAAACTATAAAAGTTGAGGGTTTATTTGGAATCAATTAGAAGGTTGAGAGTTTTTTTCGGGAAAAAAATACGAAGTTGAGGGTTCTTTTGGAAAAAATGAAAAATACAAGGTCTTTTTCAGGCAAAAAATAAAGTTGAGGTTTAATCCGTAAAAAAATACAAAATATAAAGTCTTTTATGAAACTAACCCTTTTCGATTTGGCCCTTTTAGCAGTTTTTTCTGAAAAAACTAATCAAATGTGGAGGGTTTTTTCAAAAAAAAAAAAAAAAGTAGCAGGTTTTTTCGGAAAACATTAAAAGGTGAGGGCTTCTTAGAAAAATAATAAAAAACTAATATGACCCTAAGGTGTTTTTCAGAAAGGAATTGAAAGTAATGGCATCTTTTAAAATAATACCTTAGAAACAGATATGACCCTAAGCTTTCCTGGTGTTATGCTGTTAATGGCATCTTGAATATCTTGAGGTTTAATATCCTCTCTCCATGTATCTAAACAATTAAGCAATTGAAGATAATTAACTATTAAAAGCTACACAGATGGTTAAATTTACTATCTTGTCCCTGCTTTGTATTTCATTTATTTGTGTATTATAGCATCCTAAAGAATTCTACTTTCAATCTTTTTTCTTATTAAACCACTGTACTTTGATAAACAACTCAATGAAAATACATGGCTAAAGATCTTTGTTCCATTTCATATAAAAAGTTTTGAAGAAACTTGTTTTGAAAATATAAATTTCAAATCTGAAAATGGTAAATATAATATTTTAAGAGTTATGACATACAAAAAGAGCAGACTTGTTGAAAACCAGTCACCCCTTTATCAGTTCTTCCAGCAACTACAACATTGGCTTCAAGAGGAAGACCTTTTTCCCTCAGTAATGCAGCTTTCCTTTCATCAACAAACTTCCCAAGAGACTTTTCAATCACCCTGAGTTCAAAAGTCAACAAAAAAATATAATGAATTACCTATAAATGATTAATTGTTTGAACTTTGAATGCATAAAAGCATAAGTTAACTCATTCTTTTTCGTATCAAGTCAAAACAAAACAATCATATATCTATCAGGATTAGATTAAGTGAAAAAGAAACAAACAGTAACACTTACTCTTGAACAGTATTCAACTCTGGTTGCTTTTGCCATCCATCAAAGGATCCTCCATGATATGAAAGAACTATCTTATAATTCATTCGGGCCCACCTTCCAGCTCGTTTTTGTGATGGAGTAATAACATATTCAGATTCATCAGAAGGGTCTAGACTATTATCATCTGGAATGTGATGTGTCTGAAAAGATATTGTTCATTATAAGTTTATGAAATAGTTGAATTGTTGAATATAGAATGGGTGAATTGAGAAACAAAAGGTAATATACTTTAATAGCAATATGTAACAAATAAAGTATCAAACACCAACCTTGGCTCCAAACAACTGAAGGAATGTAATCTGACCATTAACTACATCTGAGTAAAAGTTGATCACATTTTGCCATGGTCTTGCATACATGAATAGATAAGATTCCCTACAACAGCAAGAAAATGAATATCATTAGACATTACAAATTGGGTAAATTGACTATAGGAAGTAATGCGACATGTTCTTTCTCAAGTAATGTAATCTTTAGTAGCTAATTGGACCTTTTAAATTGGGTGAATTGACTATAGGAGTAATGAAGGGACAAACTTATATACGCGTTACATATGAATCTTACAACAAGAAATGCGTAATCCATGCATGGGATAGATGCATACATTGTCATTGCTTAGAGTATAAATCAAAAATGAAAATTAAGCTCGAAAGAGGAGAAAATTCGACTTAATTTAATGTAAGATCTTCTTAATTTGGGTAAAAACCCATATGAAAACGATTGAATAGGTAATGAAGACATGTTATGCTAATGATTTTGTGGAAGCAAAAAGGAACGAGAATTACCTAGAAGTCCATCTGGAAGACTTGCAAGAATCAGTGTGGTTATAGTGAGAATAATCTTTCGTTTGGGGAATTTTCACGTTTGCATTTGTCTCCATTGAAGAAACGAACGTCCTTCGGATTATTTGAGATCGTAATTCCAAAGCCAGCGCCCTCGGTCGTTGGTACGATAATATCATCCAACACTCGGGCTCCGGCTCCGCCGTTGCTTGCTGTTTGATTATGTGACTCTGTTTTGACTCGGGGAACTCGCCCTGTGTTTTCTGGTGTGTATACCTACCCTTCCCGAGTGCCAACAAAAGAAAATTTGAGAAAACAAATACAAAATCTAAATGGTGTTTCACTTTTGAATTTGAGTTTTAAACAAAAAGTTTTGAATCAAACTCCGTAAAACCAAGGTTATAAGGTTGTCAAGATTGTGATAGTATCTAAGATTGTTTTTCGGTTTGCAAGATCGGGATCGAGATTTTAAGATCCCACAAAATAAAATATAATTTTAATTTATAATTTTTAATCATGAAAAATATTTCAAACATTCAATTTTTCGTTCAAAAGTTCTAAAAACTTCAAAATATTAGTCACTAGGTGTGAGACCCGTATATTACACGGGTTGATTAAAAAAGTTAAATATAAAGTGTACACATTAAGTATTTTCTAAAGTTAAATTTTGAAATAAATATAAATGAAATGATGAATAAGTAATTCAATCTATACTAATAAAAAATTATTATCATGTTTTAAATAATCATGTTGAATATGAATGTAAAAATTAAGTATTTTTTAATGTAAACTTTCGAAATAAACCAATAAATAGAATAAACCACAAGGACCATTTATGTATTTTGTCTTAGTTAATCTATACTAATAAAACTAATTAATATAAATTCACAAATAGAATTCATTAATATATTAATAGAAATAAGAATTCACAAATGGAAGGTTTACTATATATATTAATTCACATTAATTACTATGAGATGACATTTAATAGGTGGAAGTTAAATAAAAATGAAAAAAATACAAAAATAACAAGTGGAAAAAAAATAATTTTAAAATTCTAAGAAAATGACATGTGTCAAATTCAATAAGAAGTTGACATTTGGTAAAATTATATTTTATTTATTAGGGTAGATAAGTCACAACACAAAATGATAAATGGTAAATTGGCAAAGGGTAAAAAACATAAAATGGTAAAAAAAATCATTTGAAAAAAAATCAAGGGAAGGTAGGATCGGATCGGATCTCGATCCTACCTACGATCTTACAATCTTACATGCGATCCTACCCCAAATACGATCTGTATACGATCCGGATCGTTTTTCATACCTAGGATCGTAGGATCGTACGATCCTACGATTAGGATCGCGATTTTGACAACCATATGTAATACTATCTTTTAGTTAAAACTTATAATTATAATATAAAATATTTGGGAAATTGAGTGAACTAACCTATATGAGTATTTTGGTAATAATAACCAATGTAAATATTTTTTTTTGAAAAATGTCCATTTTCTCCTTAACAGAGCATTCCGTAGTCAGGGGTTTCATTCTGGAGCTTTGTTAACCATATTTTCTCCGGAATAGAGCATCTCGGAGTACAAATGCTCATTCCAGAGCTTTGGTGAAATAATAATTTTAGTACATTCCGGACTTACATTCCAAAGTACCAATGTCTGAAACAGGAATTTATGTACGATTGTCAGGCTCGTATTTTAAAATGACAACACGGAGTCACGAACACACGTTCTGGAGGCATGTTCCAGACAGTTATTCCGGAATAAAAAACTCAATCATACATAGAGTTTTTTAACATGTTTTGTTGATCTTTTATTGCAGCATCGGTATCGTTGTGTCTTTTCTCGGATGCGACTGCAAATATTGCAAGCATATCTTCAAAGTTCGTTTTCTTTTCTTGCACCGGCTCCTCCTTTTGATAAAAACCTCTTGTCTTTTGCCTATACTTTTCCTCCTTTGCCTTCTTGTACTCATCATACGGTAGCCATTCCTTCTTGGATTTTCGCCAATCCTCATCATATCTATCGCCACTTGAATAACACACTTGCACTTTCGGTTCCTGTTCTCGTCAAGATCACAATCTTTAGTAAGGTGAGGCCCTCTTCAGTTATCACATCCCACTCTAATGGCATGGATGGATTGGTCCATCTTAGTCAATCTACGATCCATGCTTTCCAACTTTGTCATCATCGTCGCCATGTCATCAAAAATAGAATTCACCACCCCTCGAGTTGAGTCATTCCTTGGGTTATGATATTCTCTAGAGTGCTTAGAGAATTCTTCAATTAACTCATTTATAGCCGCGGGTGCTTTCTTCGTGAGTGGTCCTTGCGAGTCAAGGAGCTATCTAGTTGTCACGTTCACTCCATCATAGAAAATGGAGACTTCTTGTTGAATGTTTAGATCATTATGAGGGCAGTTCCTCAACAGGCATTTGTATCTTTCCCACGCCTCATAGAGTGACTTGCCTGCTTGTTGCTCGAAAGTTGCAATGGCTTTTTTCAACTTTGCTATTTTTGAGGGAGGGCAAAATTGATCAATAAACTCTTCACGCATCATCCCCCATGTCGTGATGGATCCTGGAGGGAGTGATTTCAGCTAATCTTTCGCGGCTCCCTTAAATGTGACCGGTAGCATATGAAGTAAAACAGGTGTAACATCCCAAATTCCAAGCCCAAATTTTTCATTTTTAATTAAGTAATCCTCAACATAGTTTACCAAAATATCTTCCATGCCATATCATTTGCAAACAAAAATATAACAATGTGTCTGAAAATCATAATGTCAAAGTAAAATAAATCAGAGTACAATCCCAGAAAACTCCATGCGGAAATCATGTGTGTGTGTGATGCGCTGCTACATCGCCGACTCCTTCCCCTTAGACGAAGAGGTATCTGAAACCAAAACTAAAACTGTAAGCACAAAGCTTAGTGAATTCCCCCATCATACCACATACTATACAATCACATAGCATATATATTGTCGGGCCATTCTGGGGCGCCCGTCCTACCCATGTCAAGCCATTCTGGGGTGATGACCTACCCATGTCAAGCCGTTCTGGGGTGCTGACCTACCCATGTCAAGCCGTTCTGGGGTGCTGACCTACCCATGTCAGGCTATTCTGGGGTACCGACCTACCCATGTCAGGCTATTCTGGGGTGCCGACCTACCCTTCGTTCTTTCAACCGGACTCGGGGACTATTTCACCCCCTACTGCTAACACATAATGTCATATCTCTATCATACTGCCAGACGTATCTGGGGTGTCCGACCTACCCATTGGTACTATCGACCGAATCGGGGACTAGTCCCCTTCTACTGATACCACCTAGCATAACATAACAACTAGCATAGCCACATATCAAGCAAACTAGCATACTCGCATATCAACCAATAGCCGACCAGACAATTATCACAAAGACAATTATCTCAGCTAAACATCTACTAGTGGGCCGGCCTTGGTGCGGTAGACCCACTTATACTGGAAGGTAACTCACCTCGCAAGGCTGACTGCTGAAAAGCTGATCGGCAGATGTCTGACTGCTGCTCCGGTGATCCTCCGGCTATAAATCCATAAAACACTTAATCAGACACTGATAACCACTCTTAGGGTAAAATGACTATTGTACCCCTGACCAAGTCAAAGTCAAAGTCAACTTCCAGTTGACCTGACTCGCCGAGTTGGGCCGCCAACTCGTCGAGTCCCTATCCTTTCATCTGTCCTTCTTCACGCTGCTACTCGTCGAGTTTAGCAATGACTCGACGAGTTCACCTTCTAAAACAACCTCGAATGAACCTTCATCCGACTCGCTGAGTTGTATGAACAACTCGTCGAGTTCATCCTCATCCTATGAACAGGTCATGTCCTTGACTCGCCGAGTTGTATGAACAACTCGTCGAGTTCATCTTCGAAAGTTGGGAGATTGCCTTGGACTCGCCGAGTCTGTTCATACACTCGCCGAGTCCTATGATTCCTAGGTCTATGGCTAGGTCCAATGTATTGGGTCATTCCCCCCGGACCCCTCTAAGATCATTCTAACACTCACTGGGTTCCTTCGAACCATAACAGAAAAGGGAAGTCAATCTATGGACTCATCGAGTCCCAAGAACAACTCGCCGAGTCGAGAATGACCAAGTCTTATTTCTCGATTTCTGACATACAACACTTGACCAAAAGATAGATCTAGGCTTCTAAGATCGATCTAGCATGTAAAGTTACAAACTTTATGTGCATGCATGGGACTATGAGCTCAAAAGGCCCTAAATGAGACTCTTAAGATGCATGGGGCTATCTAAGGCTCCAAAATCAATCCCTTTTCTGTCTTGTAACCCCTTAAAGACCTTGGATCTGAAGTCTTAGCCTCCAACCATGCTTGCACTCATGATTGGTCACCAAGAATGGCTCCTAAAAGCCCTAAAACACCCCAAAAAGGGATCTAAAACATGAAAGAGCAAGGTATCAGCTTTATACCTCTAGAGAACTACAGTAGGTGCACAAACTCGAACTCCTCTGGCCTCCTCTTGATTCCTCAAGCCTTTCTCTTCCTTCTTATGTTCCAAAATCACCAAAAACCACCACAAAGGCCTTAGATCTTAACACTAACGATTAGGGTTTCAGTAGGAGGTGTTCTGGGAGAAATAGGCGCGAAGGGAGGCTGAATGAGATGCTTAAATAGGGTGCAATCCCTTAGATTAGGGTTTTATCCAGTCAGGGCCTAATCGTCGAGTCTGGCTGCCGACTCGTCGAGTAGGTCATTAAACTCTCGGGTCCAAGTCGCTCCTACTCGTCGAGTTGGCCATCAACTCGCCGAGTTCTAGGCCAAAAATGAATAATACTTGAATGAAATTCATACCGGGAACCGGGTGATACAAATCTCCCCCACTTATCTTAGACTTCGTCCTCGAAGTCTGCTGCTCGATCCTGAAAAAGCTCGGGGTAATGCTCCCTCATCTCGTCCTCCAGCTCCCAAGTCCACTCCGAGCCCTTGCGGTGCTGCCACTGCACCTTCACCAACTCCACTCTCTTGTTCCTCAGATCGTTTGACTTCCTGTCAAGGATCGCCACTGGCTGCTCAATATAGTTCAGGCTGTTATCAACCTGAATATCCTCCAAAGGCACCACTGCCGAATCGTCCACCAGACACTTCCGCAGCTGGGGGACGTGAAAAGTGCTATGAATCTGACTGAGTTCGGCCGGCAGATCTAGCCTATACGCCACCTTGCCCACCCGGGCTATAACCCTGAAGGGTCCAATATACCTGGGGCCCAGCTTGCCCCGCTTCCTGAATCG